GCGCTTTACGCCAGCCGCCTTCTCAAGTCAGGGCCCAAATGAATACACAGAAACTTGTATTAGGTTCAAAGCTGCTTGGCCAATGACTAGGATTCTCATCTGTTAGCTCAGTCTTAATTATCATAAATCTATATATTTTATAAGACTTATCTTATCGGAAGCCTTATTGGCGTCCCTCCTTGTCGGTGGCTCATATCCTGCCGCTGGAGGAGGAAGGGGAAAAAAGAGGGCCCTTCCTGTTTCTCCTTCACTTAAATATGAGTCTCCTTTCTATGTCACTTTCTGCCTGGATCACCACTTCTCTACTACATTTCCCAGAATCCTCTTTGACTCCTAGTCTGTCTAACTTCCTGTCTCATTGGCCAAACAGTATTTTATTTAACAATGAATAAGATAAACATACACAGTACATTCCCCATCACCCTCTGATTTTTTTTCCTACTCTACACTTGCAATTCCTTCCAGGAGGGGCTTGTGTATTTTGCACCATAGTAATATGTGGAGGACAAAGTGCTCTGTGGAATGAACATATTCGTTTACATCCACCTAGGAAGAAAAAGAGCTGAAATAAAAGGTAAGTAGAGAAAGAAAAGCAAGGGCAACAACAAAAGAGACCTGACACTAGGAAATGGCCTAGCACTGACAGCCAAGCCACCTGACACACCCAAACTGGAAACCACTCCAGTCAGACAAGGTCACTGAGCCTGTGAAGAAGCGGGGCAAGGCGGACACAAGTAAGGTCACTGTGGCACCCACCACCGAGGGCAAATATTAAATGTCCACTCTTAGCAATGACAGCTCATCTGGAGCCAGACTTCTGAGACATTTAGACATGCCAAATTCGGCTGATAGTATCCAATCTAATGTGAAATCCCAGCTACCCAGACCACCCACAAACCACAAGGCACCTCCCAAAAGCTTTCTTATTCTCCCCCTGGAATACCAACAGTGTTCCTGGTGTGTGTCCCCTTTGCTCTGGTGAGCATTAAGGCCAATCTGGTTGGCTTAAAGCACAGGGTTGCTTCTGGTTTGGCTGAAAGACACTAAGAAAATGTGCTCTGTTGGGTACAGCATTCTTCCCAAAGAAGAGGGTCTTTGATATCATTATCCACTCATGTCCTAAGCCCTTCTAGGTAGAAAACTGTCTCATTTCCTAGTCACCCTCTCCTAGCACTGATGGCACCACTGCCATACCACAAAGAAACAAAAGCTCAGAGAGGCTTAGTCACCTTCCCAAGGCCAGGCAGTAAGCGGTATGGCCAGGAGTCCACCCATGCATGACTCTAAAACCACCACTTTGATAAACACAGTTTGCAAGACAGAAGAAAGGAAATGTATGTCCAAACCAGAAAGTCATGGCTGAGATTAACATCTTGATAGTAAGCACCCAAAAATCTATAGGATCCCTTCTGCTCTCCCCATGGACCTCAATGTTCATCAAGGTTACCTGGAAAATGAGTCCCGAAGCCAGGTGCAGGGCTTTGGAGGCAAGACATTTTGATGGTTTTCATCCATTCTGCTACCTTCAGTTCAGCAAAAAACACATTCCAGACTGCCTTTACCTCCAGCTTGTCATCAATGGTGTGGATAAGGTGGGTGTAGCCAGGGTGACATCCTTCACCTCCCTATCTCTACATTCCAATGTCACTCCTGGGGGAACCTTCTCTCATTCCCCAGGATGTCTTAAAAATGGTGGCTGTGACTCTATATGGGGCCTCACAATTGAATGTGAGTGTCGGGGGTCATATAAATGAATGTGATGGTTGTGGAAAATTTGGTAAGATGTCTGCAACATGCAATGACCACAAATTCGTTCAAAATCACATGTGTGAGGAACCTGAGGTTCTCTGGACATCATATATCATCACCACAGCTCCTGTTCTACACCCAGCATCACACTTCACAAGGTGTAAAGCTGATTCACCATGAATGCCAGCAAGCACTGCTTGTCACACCTCAGCTGACATTTGAGATGTTGTACATTACAATGCTCTTTTTAAAAATGACTTTGTATGTATGGGTACTATGCCTATGCATATGTATATGTACCATGTGCCTGCTGGTGCTGACTGGAGTCAGAGAAGGTTGTGAGCTGCCATATGGGTGCTGGGAATCAAACCTGAGCCCTCTGGAAGAGCACCCTGTGTTCTTAACCACTGAGCTATCTCTCCAGCCCCCTCACAGGACCCCTTCTCCTCTCTCATACACCCCATAGTGTTACACAAAGTTTCCTGAACTTAACAGAAGCATGATGGCTTAATTTATAGACAACTAACACTTTCACTATTTTCCTACCAACACTGTTCAGCACATAGGCCTTAGAGTGGTATGTCTTTGGATAGGACTGTGTTAGAATGCTTAGAATGCTTAATTTTAAATGTTTGAGTTACTGACTTGAGTTCATAAAAAAAAAATCATTAAATACTTTTTTGCATTCAGACACAATTTCCAGCAATTTCTGAAATGGCTCTAAACAGATTTCTGCCATTCTGTGCTCTCCATCTATGCAGAGTGGAATTCTCAGCACTGATGCTTATAAAATCAAAATATTGATCAACTGAATATTGCTACAGATGCTTCACATCCTGCAGTACTGAGGACTTAGCCCAGATTAAGTTCCCTATGGAAAAATAAACACATCCATTTGTTAGTATATACATTTGCTTTTGTCTTTAGTAAATGGTAAAATTATATGTACCACAAAGAATTTTAAAATAAATTTCTTCATGATTGTCATTACACATTTGTTTTATATGCCTATTTAATATGACTATATACCTGGGGTTGCCTAACATTTTCTTGGATAAGAAAGAGTGGTGAGCAGACAACAGTTTTAAAAGTCCTCCCTGGGGCTGGAGAGTTGGCTTTGCTTTAGAAGCATGTGCAGAGGACTGGAGTTCAGTTCCCAGCACCCAGGCCTGACTGAAACTGCCTGTAATTCCAGCTCCAGTGGATCTGATACCGGCACCCTCTTCTGGTCTCCTTGGGCAACCTGTACACCTGTGTGATCATACACACACACACACACACACACACACACACACACACACACTTTTTTAGGATCTTTCTGGGATAGGTTAACCACCACCTTTGTGCCAGGTTCTCCAGATTGCCAGCAACTGTCACCTTTGGCAAAGGTGATGCTCCGGCTGCATGCCCACCCTGCTAACATAAGGGTACAGACCAGATTCAACTGGTTCTCTGCCTGACACCGAGCTCTGAACCTGAAGGGCATGGGAGGACTGCTGAGTGGCAGGGTCTGAATGAGACCCAGGGCAAGCTGCCTTCTTCCTACTCCAAGTCCTTGTCTGAAATCCTGTCCCAATCCAAATCAAAATGCATTTAATGATTTTTTAATGAACTCAAGTCAGTAACTCAAACAGCAATATTTAAAACCAAGCATCCTTCTCTGCATGCCTCATGATGCCTCCAGCTCTATTTTCTTCCCCAAACTGGCAAATGCTCCTGTCAAGCAGACAACACCTAGCAAAATCCAGCTGTGGGCTCAGAGCCTTTGCCTTTTTCTGCTTGGTTTTTCATCACTTTCACCTCTGCCCTCTGGTGAGTTACCCAAGGTCACACTAAGTCACACAGTAAAGCCAGAAATAAAATTCAGATTAGCTGGCTCCCAAATTGGTACCTGATCTAGGTGGAGGGAGCAGGTTTACTGCTGACTCTCTGAGAGTCTTAATAAAATGTAGGGTTATAAAGCCTCAGTATTTAAGAGACAATGCAACATAATAAGACCCACAGGAAAAGGTATTTTTAAAAAGGGATGGAAAAATACAAGGCAAGCCATCTGGATTTATAATTAACACAGCAAAGCGATTTGAATTCAATTCTGCATTGGGACTCTGTTAAGCTTCAGAGTCGGTGAATGCCAAGGAAGAAGCAAGCAGCCTGCTGTCTGATGGCTCGGTACAGGGCACAGCAAAGCTCGGAAGCTACAGGAAATACTAATGTCTTTGGCATAAAACGCATGTTCTGCTCTCATCAGAAGCCACTTGAAAATGAGCAAGACCAATGCTAAATTCCAAGTTACATGGCTGCACAGTGAGAGTTAACTGAAAGCCATGTCCCTATAGCCTGCAGCGCTGAAGAGCGGGAGCCAGGCAATTAAAGCGGAGAGGAGATAAAGGACAGGAAACTTAGATCAGTCGCTGGCAGAACCTGCTGTCTGGTGTTGGAACCCCATAGGCACACTTCCTTCCTACCTGAGATGGGGCAAGCCAATGTCACTAAGGGAAGGGATGGAGTACAAAACGGAGACTGCCTAGACCCCCTGGAGCTCTCTTGCCTGGGCTACGTACAAAGTCTGAGGTCACATGGACTATGCAGTAAGACATTATCTCAAAATAAATAAACAAACAAAATGAAGATGAAATGATTAAACAAGATCCCGTTTCTCCAAGGAGAGAAGGGAATGGGAAGATGCACACTGCAGGGACAATGGGTGATTACTTCTTAGGTGTAATGATCTCTCCAAACATTCCAGGGGAGCCAGGAAAAGCACCTATGACGATGGTATGCTTACCATCAACCAAACCTCAACCGGATTTTTATCACAATGATGCTTACTATCAGTTGAGCATTTAGACAGGAAGAGACACAGTCTTAGGGGGTTGAAAACCCGGCCATAGCCACAGGTAGGGGTCCATCGTGCTGCCCTTTGTGACAGCTGGGAGTGCTAGCGAGTAGAAGTAACTGGCACACGCCCAGAACTAACCCTCTGGGTAAGGATTCTTAAGGGAAGGATGATGTAGCCACCATCCTTGATCTGTTCACAATTGCTAACAGAGCAGAGGACATGAATTCATCCTCAGGTTATTTGATCAGTCATTGCTCAAAACAACCTAAACTAGGATCAAGAGACGGCCCTGGAGTGAGATCCACAGGAGATATGGGCAGCAAACTCCCAGTGAATCTATGAAGATAGAGGAAAACTCCAGTTGGAACTGAGACCCAGAAATTAGAAGCGCACACACAGTACACACAAGCAGTCAAGGCCTGATACAGAAAACTTTAATCAACAATTGTGGCAACAATACACACAGACATTAAATATCAGAATTCTCCATCATCACCGCCACCACCACCAGTCTAGAAATAAAATGATCCATTAATCTGAACCATTCCTGGTGGGAGATAAAAGAGATTTAGGAAAATGTTTTCCAAAAACATATTTCTTTTACCCCATCTAGACTCCACACAGAAAAAAGACAAGTTTGTACTCAAGGGAAGTTATCCAGCCAGCTTTGTAGCACAGCTCATCACTATGAAATGGCTTCCCTTACTCTCCCCTCCCTCTGGATTGATGAGCAGAGGAAACGATGCTCTACTATACACTTACCAGACAGAACAAGTAAAAGTTTAACGTGAGTGAATTCTATGTTATTATAGTTTAAAACATGTATCAAAATCACATCTTTTTTGTAAAGGGGGCTGGCAGTCCAACAACAACAACACCAGGCTTCCTTAGGGCAGCTCTGTGACGTGCCCTGCCTTCCTCATGCAAGCCAATGAAGGAGATAGACTGTACAGACTGCCTGCCTTCTCAGTCACCTTGACACGGATATACAAGTCTATAAGAAAATAACCCCAACTACAACAGCCATTCCATTCAAGTACTGAGAGAGTGTGCGTGGAAAACTGGGGGAGACAGGCTGGAAAGAAGGACTTCAATACTTTGCATGAACACAGCTGGAGCAGACTGCTCGATCCTCAACACTTAATGACTCTAACACTGGTGTTTTGTTTTGGTGAGCAGGTAGGCAGTGTAGCCAATTTGCTTCCAGGCACTTTTGCAGTAACCACTGTTGATTTTAAAATGTGTATTCTCTATCCTTTCTTAAACCAGTGGTGGACCTATACATCGGAGCCAGGAAGTCATTATTGCCACAGTGCCCCCAAAGTATTGTGCATACAGTTTCCTGTTTATGTACAACCCACTGTACAATTATATAAGGGTATAAGGAAAATCTGGTGATGGGTGAAACTGAAAGGTTCGCCGTCCCTCATCCTGTCCTACATATGTATTATTTGTAGATGCTTCCTGATTGAAATGATTGAAGAGAATAATACAGGCCTGGGCACCAGAAGCTAAATTGTGCTCATGTTCTCTCAGCCAAAGCCGGATGGGGATAACAGAGACAAGATGCAGTATTAAGAGTTAGGAAAGGTTCTGGGTACTGCTTGGGGAGTGATCTTTCCCATGAGGAGTCACAGGAAAAGCAATGCTGGGAGGACAATCAACACCTAGACAGCACTGTTCCCGGGCGTTGTCTAACCTCTGCTAGAACACCGACGGGCAGGAGGCTGGTGCACGTCATCTTCAGGACAGCACAGCAAGCAGGCAGAGAGGCACACAAAGCCATGAACACAACTCTGCGTGATACAGCTGCTCAGGAGCTGGGAGCTGTCAGTCACTACTCTAAAGAAACCAGACATCTTCCCAGCATCCCATGCTCTCCATAGCCATTTAACACGAGGTACCCAGCTACTCAGACATGTGGATCTGAGGGGTCACCATGGAACAGCTACATGTGTGTGGGGGCGTGGACAGAGATAAAGCCTCTTAGAAATGATCACTGCAGGGCCTGGAAAACAGAGAAAATAAACATCTTGGGGCTGGGACCACAGAGCAATGGGGTCTAAACTGTGAGCTAGTGACCACTGGCAGCCATGGTCAGCTCAACTGTGGGAGGTAGGTGAGAATGGTGTGGCCTGCTCTGGGGCTGCAGCCCGCCTTCCTGCAGCAGTGGCAGCAGGCTCTGTCATGGCCTCTCTCTTCTGCTAGCTGGTCTGCCAACGTGGCAGAGCTGTCTGTTTCTTTCCTCTTGGAGTATCAGGGGCTGTCTTAGGGTTTTAAAGCCCCCTTCAGAAGACCAGCAAAGGGACATGCTCAGTGACAGACAACACTGCCAAAACTCAATTTATAAAGGGCCAGTTCTCCTAATGGGGAACACAAAATAAAATCGTTTGACCTCATCACAAATGTGAACTTTAAAGACCACCTGGCCTTGGTAATGAGACTCAACCCATTCGGTTTTAAGTGGCATCTCTCATTGCTATATGTCAAAATGGCAACAGTAGAGATCTTTAACAAAACTGTAACTGACAGAAACAACAACATATAACCAACCTGACAGCCAGTACTTCTTTATCTATGGAGCGGCCTTCTTTCCCGCATCTGTTTCAAAAGTACCCAATATTTATACTTAGCGGATAGAAGACAGGGGGCCAAATCCTCCTGCAACGAGAGAGCAAAGCTTTGACCACTGAGCCTGGGAGGTGGGGTCAGTGAAAGTCTATCAAGTACTCGGGGTAGATCTGGTTGGCATCAAACACCACAAAGATCTTTGGGTTCCAGGTGTCATCCACACAGCTGTCATACAAATTCACATAGCTCCCGTCTTTGGAAGGAGGTCTCATGTATTTGGAGTCTCCATTTATGTAATCCCCAATTAGCACTCGAGCAAGAAACATGGATTTATAGGTTCTGAACAGGTGTCGCTGCTGCACGCTGACCCCATGAATCTGGAAGGTGTTACCATGCTTGATGTCATCTTTGCAGAAACGACTGGAGTACGCAGCATCTCTAGCGAAATAGGTTCCTTCAACAGAAAGGGTCAAAGTTACGTTGGAGAAAAGACGAAGTGCAGGGGACAACATTCTAACTGCAGGGACAGCAGGACAGACAGGAGTCATACCCCAGGGACAGATGTGGGACCTCCTCCTCTGCACACCTAAACAACAGGACACGATTCCCTAGGGAGGCAGCTGTGGGTGTACCAGGCCTCACCAGAGCCCTCCTGTGCCCTGGACAAAGTAAGTGCCAAACCTGGGTTTCCAAAAGAGAGCTTGCAAGGAAATCCAGTAAAGGAAACACAAACCATTCTGCGGTGAGACATGTGGCAGGTCTGGGTGTCACTGAGACTATCACCCCCCAGTTGTGTCCTTTCTTGGCCTCCTCCCCGCAGCCCTCCCCCAGCACCCAGCATCCAGACAAGCTCTGCAGAGTACGGCTCTGCCCGAGGAGCTCACACCCAAGAAGCTGCTGATTATGACATGGGGCAATCCAGAAGTAACTCTAGAACCAGGACTCACACTCAGCAATGAGATTCTGAGGCTGTACAAAGCTACTGCTGTGCCTTGGCTCTTCAGTCTCCCTGGGGCCCGTGTGTCACAGGCTTAGTCTTCCGGGAGCTTGGTGCCAATGAGAGGTGCAGGGACTTTAGAGAGGATACGCCCTTAAAGGGGATTATGGACCACAGACCTTCTTCCTCACAGTTTTCTCGCTCCGGCTGCCAGTTCATTTTATATGACATACTCTGCTGTGATGGTCAGCCTCAAAGCAAGCTCCACAGTGCCCAGGGAGCACAGACAGAAATTTCTGAAACTGTGAGTCAAGAATCTTTCCTCTTTTGAAGCCATCTTGGGTGTTTTGTTATAGTAAGAGGAAGCTAATGAGCACATCTATTCCTGCCTGAACATTCCAGAACACTGTCAGTTATTATCATAAACACTCAATAAAGCAGCCAACTCTCTAGAAATGACTGACACAATCAATCAAGTAACTAATTCTAAAAAAAAAAAAAAAAAAAAAAAGGGGACATGAATTGCAAAGTCTCATAACCACCAATCTTGATAGAACTGGTGTCAGACTTTTCTGACCTCTTACAGCTGAAGTGAGCAGCCTTTTGAATACTTATCCTTAAATTAATTCACTGCTTTGAAATTAGCACCTCCTAATCCTCAACAGGACTAACTGTGAGAACAAATGTCCGCCCCTTACCCTCCTCAGCAAATGGCTACTACCCCTTACTCTCCTTGGCTCTCTCCCTATCTGCTTGAGCCATGCCATGGAGTGGAGACCTGGGACTTGCACAGCCTCAGAAATAAGGTGGAGTTTTGCCCATTATTCCCTTCAGTGCATGTTGACATTCTTATCTATCATTTTCTAACAAGCAAAACCAATCAAACAAAACACCAAAACCACTAGTCACTGTACTTGAGTACAACTGACATGTCTACTACTCTGTGCATTAGCTATGGAGCAGTTCACTGTGTAGGCTTATCCACAGGAAGAGCTGACTCAGACACTACAGATAGGCAAGGCTTTAACACAGGCTGCCACATCAGGATGACCAGAACCCAGGAAGCTACTGAATATGGCAGATGTGCAAGTCTCACTTCCACCCTGTCTGCAACTCAGACTCTGGTAACTTTTAGCTTCATTACTCCAACTCTGAATCATAAAGCAACCAATTTTCCCGAAAGAGAGGGAACTCTCCCCTGTGACTGAACCTGGACCTGAGATTCAGATATTACCTTTGCCAAACACAGCGCCATGTACACCATTGATTCTCCAATCAAAGTTGTGAATGCAAATTGCTTCCACAAATTCACTGCTGGTGCCATGAAACAGCATTTGCTCATTGATCTGAGGGACACCTCTCTTCTTCTTGAGCTGAGCCTTTTTCCTAAAATCACAAAACATCCAGATATAAACCACAGAAAAATATACCAGTGAGTGATATCTATTAATTTAAAATGCTAAAGGGCAAAGTTCAATAGAAAGGGTGAAACAATAATATGAATCATATAATATAAATGAATAGATAGAGCAATTCTAGCAAAGAAATTGTTTCAAATGCTCTTGAATACATAAAAATCATCTCATCAAATATAACAGCTACCAGCTAGGTGTGGTACTTAATGCCTGTATTCCCAAGGTACAAGAATCAGAGACAAGGCTATACTAGGCTTAAAAAAAAAAAAAAGGTTAGCCTAGGTTGCATGAAACGGTTTCAAAAAAATGAACAAAACAAAAAGAATAGCTAGCATCAACATTGAAGGCTGAAAAAAGACTGGGCATATAGCTCAGTGGTAGAGTGCTTGTCTAGCAGGTGGGAAAGCCTGGGTCCCATCCCCAGGACTGTGGAACAAAGAGAAGAGAGGAAAGGGGGGTGTGGTGGGGGTACAAATGATTCTCTAAAGCTGCTAAGCGTCACAGATGGCTGCAAATGAGACTATAAACAAGTAATATAAAGTTCTTCCATAGTTAGACAAAGAATTCTGTCTTTGAGCTGGGACCACATTTTATTCTGTATCAGCTGACTGAAATTTGAAGTTTACTGAGCATGAAGCCCCAGTTTAACATCTTCTCAGTGAACAAATCCTCAGTGCATCAGCGATGGCAGACTGTCCATATTAATAACAGAAAAGACAAAATGAAAAGCCTAAAAAGCTGTCATAGAAAAATGGCTACTTAGCTATTTACATATGAAAATTAAAAGTAGGAGCCAGGTATAGTAGAAGTTGTTTTTAATTCCAGCACTTGGGAGGCAGAAGCACCAAGATCTTTGTGAGTTTGAGGCCAACCTGGTCTACACAGTGAGTTCCAGGCAAGCCAGGGCTACAGAGTGAGACCCTGTCTCACAAAAATAAAAGTTAAATGTAACAAACTAGGTCTAGGTGCACTGTAAATATAAAAGATAATAAGCCTAAATAGAATGTTGTAAAAATCAATGTACTTCTCGAACACTGTATATTATACAGATATACATACCCATGAAGTAAGAACACAACACTATAGGCAAGAAAACATCTCCTTTTGGGAAGAAACAAGAATGGGATGGGTTGGAATAAGGCCTTTGCCTTTATCAGAGATGAGAGATAAAGACAATGAGCCAAGCGTGGGAATGTCAAACCTAATGATGGGAGTGTGGCATTCGGAAGCTATTTGCTGCATTTTGGGTTTTGAAATGTTTTCCCAAAAGGATATTTAAAGTAGCACACCCCCTTCCATCTCTGCTATCTCACCTCAACTGTGTCAGAGCCTTTCCTTAAAACCGTAACATATGTAAATACAAAAGCACACTCAGAACCAGTAAGTGGCATTTATAATTAAAGAGCAAGGTTCAGTAGGAAGGCAGAGGCACAGAACTCTTCTGTAATATGAACCACAAATAGAGAGGAAATCGGCTTTCTGGAAAATCCAGGAGTTGTTTCAATCCAGTGTGGAGGACTTGTTAGATCACTCTGTGATCAACACGAACTGCTACAAAGTGCATCCATCCCAACAATGAACTAGAATCCAACTCCACATCTACTGACTGACCTGTGACATTCCTCTAGACACACAACAGTTTCTTCTCTTTTATAAGATAACTCCACAGATAACTGCCCCTAAAAAAAGCTATGAACAATTCCCCCAGCTTTGTTCTCTAGGAAATACATTTATCTCCCCAGCTATTCCTCATGCTTTATAAAATCTCGAGCCCCTTCTCTACAACAAAACATCTTTACTTAACCAGAATTTGCTGGGCAGCTCTTAGTTTACAAACACTGGTGGAAACAGTGTTTTACAAGCTGTAATGACTAGATTCCATTCTAAAAACCAATATATTTGGGGCTAGAGATGGCTCAGACATGAAAGCACTTCCTGCTCTTGCAGAGGGCTCAGGTTCTGGTCCTAGCACTCTACCAGGTGATTCTTAATCACTTGTAACTCCAGGTCCAAGTGCTCTAATGTCCTCTGGCCTCTAAGGGCTTCTTACACTTGTGATGTACATACATTCATGCAGACACAGACATTTGAAGAAGATGCTCACTTGACATTATGTCCCAGACACAGGTTAATGTGAATCATGGTTTGGAGTGTGCAATCTCATAGGTATCATAAATCATGGGTAGAGTCTGCTGTGGAATATTCCTTTACCACGTGTGAATATGTCTCTGTGATTGGCTTAATAAAGAAGCTGACTGGCCAGGAGCTGAAAAGGATAAGGTTAGGGGGAGAGCCACAGAATGCTGGGAAGAAGAGGGGCAGAGTCAGAGGAGCCACCAAAGAGACACAGAGGAGCAAGACGTGCTGGAGGACAGGTAAAGCTACTACATGGCAATATATAGATTGATAGAAATGGGTTAATTTAAGTTATAAGAACCAGTTAGTAATAAGCCTGAGCTATTGGCCAAGCATTTAACATTTATATTATGTTTTGTGGTTATCTGGGAGTGATTGCTGGGACACAGAAAAACTCCACCTACAGTCTGGCACTGAGCATCGGCAGGCCATGAAACACTGCATGGCTAATGGAATGGAGAGAGCACATACACCAGGCAGAGGCAAAGCACAGTTAAGGTTTACAGCTCTACTAACACACCCAGGAAATGTGGGCTCACAGACCATGCCTTTGGTTTTCCAGAAACCTAATTCTTGAGTTACATTTGCAAAGAAAGACCTAAGACTACAGTAAATGCTTCCCAAATCCACCCACTGGATCAGAACACATTCACTTCTCCATCTACACAAAGTACTGTGGCACCCAGCTCTCACAGACGTCTTAATAACCCCATTCTCTAAGGATCAAGGTTCCAGAAATCCCAGTCTCTGGCCCACACACTGTCTCAGAGCAGCAGTGTCCCCAAGCTCTGGACTGAGGACATTCACCTGGGTTTAGGCTTCCACTCCAGATGAACATCATAAATACCACAGAGCCAGGGGTTCTGTGTCAGCGGATCTGGGTGACTGATCTCTCTACATGTTAGGGAGCTTCAGAGAGGGCTCTGATACACAGCCAGGCCAGCCATCTCTTCTTGATCAAAGCCCACATCCTTATCAAGACAGGGGCTCTCACTGCTCTAATGCTGTGGCTGCTCTGACTGCCCCAGCCATCTCCACCTTGCTGCTCTCCCTCCACCTTGCTGTCTCTCAAGTAAGTCACACGCAACTCTTCTTGGATTCCTCCCTCACATGCTCCTCTTTTACCTTCGGCTTAACCCTGTGTGGAAAATCCTAAGGCTCCTGGCTCTTCTGCCCCACTTCCCACAGCGGCCACTTAAATCTCTCCTTTTTCTATCCCTCATATGTACGTCTCTCCACAGTGCTGCACTGACTTAATGCACCACACAATCCGAAAGCATTAATGAGACTGTAGGCTAGCCAGGCTCTCACCTCTACAGAAATCTAACTGGACATGCATACCTCTTCTCCTGGCACATGGTCACTGAAGCTCATCCTATCATACCTCTTTCAGAATTTCATCAATCAGCTGCTCCCCCCTTGTCCTGTCTTCTCACCTCTCCTTTTCTGTTTCTTCCAATTATAATGTTAACCATTAAAAAATAATAAACCATAACAAAACAAAAATATTCTTCTCCCTACTCGCTTCCCTATTTCCTCTCCACCTCCCAGTGCCAAACTTCCTAAAGGAGTTGTCAAACTTTACACATGCTACAACATCCCACATTGCTTTCCCTTTCGTCAAGGTTTATTGCAAACCCCAAGGACATGCCCAGTGAGCATCTTCTCTGGTACTTCTTCAGGATGTGACCCTTTAGATTATTCCTCTAGTTCATTAGCTTTTACAACTCCACATTCTACTGGTTTCCTTTACTCTGCTCATCCTCTCGAGTCTGGTCCTCTTTTCTTAATTTATATACACATACTCTGCTCACTTTATCATTCCTGGTTGTTAGCACCTCATTACCTTCTAGCATCCATCAACAGTCTAGATCAACCTCCTAATACAACCATAGAGTATCGGCTGTTACTCCCTCCCATGGTCTCTACAAAGACCAAGTCTCATGTCTATCCATATTCCTTTAGTTGAGTAAGACAAAGAAACCAGGATTTGGGAGTGGCCCTGCCTGTTTCCCTCTCTCACCTAGTATACACAGAGAATCATATATCAAGGCCTATACCTTACATCATCAATACCTCCAAACTGTAGCAAGCACTTCTTTGGTTGAAAGGCTCCCTGAAGTGTCTCGGTTTAATTACAGAAACCATTTCCTAAACTGCTCCAAGCTGTGATTCCTTTACATGAGGGCTTCTCAACCTTAGTAGAATGCTATTTGGGGAGGGAGAGATTGCTGTTGCAGAGGCTAACCTGCATTTTGTAGGATTGTCAGCATCCCTGACATCTATCCACTAGATGACAATAGTCCCTACACCCCACCACAGGACAATCAAAAATGTCTCCTCATCACCAAATGTCCCTGGTAGGAAAAATCTTTAAAGTTTTTCCTACAGTATTGCCTAGTGAATTATCATACTAAATTCTCTCTCTCTCTCTCTCTCTCTCTCTCTCTCTCTCTCTC